TCCAGCTGAGCTTAACAGACAGGGTTCTCACAGCGTAAAGATGGAAGAAACAAGACTGGCTTCAGCTGAGCTTAACAGACAGGGTTCTCACAGCGTAAAGATGGAAGGAACAAGACTTGCTCCAGCTGAGCTTAACAGACAGGATTCTCACAGCGTAAAGATGGAAGGAACAAGACCGGCTTCAGCTGAGCTTAACAGACAAGGTTCTCACAGCGTAAAGATGGAAGGAACAAGACCGGCTCCAGTTGAGCCTAACAGACAAGGTTCTCACAGCGTAAAGATGGAAGGAACAAGACCGGCTCCAGCTGAGCTTAACAGACAAGGTTCTCACAGCGTAAAGATGGAAGGAACAAGACTGGCTCCAGCTGAGCTTAACAGACAGGGTTCTCACAGCGTAAAGATTTAAGGAACAAGACCGGCTTCAGCTGAGCTTAACAGACAGGGTTCTCACAGCGTAAAGATGGAAGGAACAAGACCGGCTTCAGCTGTCAGCTAGAACCGGTCTAGGAAGGAACGTGGACAGGTTGGCATGGTGACATGATTCCTACTGACGGTGGACGATTCAGAGAGGATAGCGCGTGTATATTAGTGCGCTCGTTCGCCTGCATGCGTGTGTGTGTGTGCGCGCGCGTGCGGGTGTATGGCCACGAGTGTGTTTGACATTACTTATTTCTATTTGGTGCGTGTTAGAAACTGGGTATGCATGTGCTAGAATGTGTGTGTGTGTGCTGGTGTGTTTGCATTCTTATCTGTATGTGAAAAAGATGGAGCACTATATGATGTGTTACGGCACAAAAGGATGATGATGGTATCCTACATACATACGTGCAATGGAAAATCAAAGAGCTTTCATGGTCATCTTTAGTATAGTGAGCTGGGGCTGCACATCACTGTACACTGTAATACCTTGTTAACACACAACATTGGAGCAGTGCATTCTTTATTACTCATTGCTTTTAGTCAACGTGTACATTATGCTGTTTTATTGTAGGTTTAGGTTTAAACAACGGATCAACATCATAGCACAAAGATATTAACCCATAAGTGCTCCGATCTAGCTCTAGTCTGAGTCGGAAGAATCTGAGCGCTGCGCACGAAATCCGTAGTACCAGTGAAGATCCTGGCTGTTTTATTATACATGGCAAAGGGATTTATGTTAAATGCTTCTTCTTCTTTCAGTCGCTTAAAATACATTATCTATATCTGCAGTGTTGTCTCCAGTATGAACTTTACTGTCTTTTGCAATTCACTCAGCGAGCCGTAACGTTTGACTTGTACCGTTAAATTAAATGATCTGTTGATTAAAACCATGTGTCCCTTGAATGGTCGCTTTGTATTTTCATTGCTGCATCTCCCACACGTTAGACACCTTTAAGCCAGCTATAAACAGTAAACAACACTTTTGATACATTTGGCACATCAGGCAAATAGTACTACAGCCATAGTTTTATAGACAAATGGGCACCTGATGGGTAATCTGGTCAACATCCAGCTCACTACCTGTACTTTTCAGGGCATTCCTCCATTCCCATTTTTGTACTGGATCGACCTGGTATCTGTGCTAACGGGAGTTTAAAGCCAAGACCTTTAGGCCAGAATGCAAGCATCTAGCTACTGTGCAGCCACAGCCCCTTTTCTCTGTTACAGTTTTTATGTTTTATTTAACATTAATTAAAAGCTTGTTAATTTGTCTAATGGGTTATTTTGTGTTTGTTTTATATTTATATGTATTTAGGCTGGACTCGATCTTCCTATTGAGGTCAAGGCAGGCTATGTAGGTAAGTGTTACATTCTTACATCTTCTGTTTCCCTCCACACAAACAGGCAGGCAGTGAAGTTTATTGAAGTTTATAACAATGCAAACAAATTGGCATACAAGCGACACAGATTTCGAAGAGAAAAAAAAATACATTTGAAAAGGATTATGGACACAGGAAATGATAATATGATCTTCAATGTTATTGTTATACTTGTGTTGATTCAGGTAAACTGAAAACTGATGAGAACATTTTTGGATAGGAAGTCAGTATTTTTTGGACATGCTATGAGAAGGAATGGTTCAAGAAGTTTGTGATGATTGAAAGTAATTTATTTTGGTAAAAATGTTTAATTTTTTGTATGTTTACTAAAAACAGTGTAACTTTCACTTTTTTTTTTTTAGGTCAATGTCCGAACATATTGTGCTCAATTCATTATGGTACAAGCATTAAACACTGAATGTCATTACACATTGAATGTCATATGGTCAAATCTTGATAAAAAAATGAAGTTGCAGAACCAATACTAGCAGTTTAGTATTGGCAGTTTGTGGTTTCACTAGGCAATTTTACATTTAGTAGTTTGTCATTGCTTTCTGAATTTTCAGCTCTCAATACCACTGTCAAAACCAATGCAAGGCAGTCTGCTACCAAATTGCTTGCAGCTGGGGTTCTTTCTGCATCATCCTGTAAGAGGATATGAAACTAACATTTTGTACCCAATGAATCAGTGAATTTTATGTTGCTTTTTCAGGGCATCTGAAGATAGACATACCATGGACCGAGCTGTTTACTGCAGACATCCATGTGGCCATTGAGGATGTATTTGTCCTGGCTGGGCCAATCACAGACAGGCAGTATGATGCAGCTAAAGAAAAACTGCTTCAGAATGCTATTAAAAGACAGTTGCTGGAATCCATTGAGCAGTCAGCTATAGAAGAGTTTGGTAAGTTCAGCTCATACAGGATGTGAGCCATCCAGCACCAGCAGCATCCAAATAAATGTTATTAGAACTATGCAGGCTTATTAACTCTTTGAGTCCCAAGGAACACATCATACATTCACATGTTCCTACCTAGAAGTCCAATGAATGCATGATGCGCCGATTTTATGACTCTCTTTACTACCCCCTGGGCCTGTGATGCTAAACCCCTGGGACTCAAAGAGTTAATAATCCTTTGGGGCACATAATCAGTACTGAGTATAACCAACGTGTCTTCTTCATGAGCCAGAATAAACACCATTTATCATGACTCTTACAACTGTCTCTGTCATCTGATATTTTCATTACGTTAGTATTGCTTATACATGTGAACTATTTGTTGCTGAGCTTTTTAATGTCTAGTTTTATTGGGGAAGGGGGAATTATATTTATCTGCATTACTGTCTAAATAAGTGTAGTCTCTACATCGTGAAGTAAGCTTTCATCTGTCAAGGGAAATTAGATTATTGCTTACCTGATTTATTCTCATTTTCTTTCCTCTGCATATGTTTAGACCCAGTTGTGATTTCTCATTAAGTATGCTTTATTTAACTTGCATTTAACTTGCCTCTGTTCCATATCTTGTGTTATATTTTCATGTGACTCCTCGTAGTTTTGATTAGAGATTGTGAATCACCAGCAGCTCTCAATTCTTCAGTTTTGTTTTCTTTTGTGGGTCCACAATTTGCTTAACGTATTCTCAAAAGCGACTGCTTCCAGTTCTTTTCTCCATTTTATTACCCATTTTCTAACATTCACAACCACACCGCAAGACACATTTCATTCTGTAGATTGTTGCATCAATCAAGATACTTTACTGTGACATAATATCTGTAATTTATATCTTTTTTTTATTGTCGTTCCCTCACCCAATCTCATCCTCAGTGAGTAAAGCAGCTGATAGCCCAACTTTACTAGAGAAACTCTCCACGAACTTGCTCAGCAGATTGCAGGTCAGTATGAATGTTCTTATATCGTTTACAGTTATGGTGTGAACAGAGCAGACGCATAGCTACATTTGTTAAATGTGCTTCATTTATTTATTTATGTTTTTAAAACAGTTTTTCCCTCCAGATTTTCATTCTGCATTATTAATATCTGAAGGAGGAGAATCAAATAGCTACAATTCCAGAAGACCCCATTTAGCCATATTGTCATTCAGCAAGTACCGTATATTGCAGTGCCACTTAACGGTTATAAAGTAAGCTGCAGTAGAGTGTGGGTGGGTTGTATTGTGAATAGGTAAAGACACTCTCATTGCAAAAACTGCTTTTGGGGTTTCAAGAAATCCACATATTATAGGCGAGTAGTATTATCTGTGAGTGGTTATGAATGCAGCTTAGTGAGATTTGAGGTGTCAATCGTTAGAAATGCTTTGTTTAGCCAGGTAATGACACATGTCCGACCTCTGGCGCATTGACTGAGGAACATTATTGGGATAATAACGTAGTTGTGATCAGCTGTTCTGTGTTTCTCAACCAGTGTTCATATTTCAAGCTTGATGTGTTAAAGTACTTGTCAATGTTTCTGAAAAGACTGCATGCAATAGTGGCAATAGTGACATGTCCTCTGCATGTCCTCTATGGGTGGGCTCTGTATGTGCAGAGCACTTGTAACAGGGTTTGCTCTGCCCAATATTTCTCTGGCTTTGTTGCTAGACGATCTTGAAAATGTGGCATTACATCATGGAAGAACACCTGTATCAGAAAAAATTCTCAATAGAGGAGACATAATTCTGTGGAAAGAAATGATTACCAACACTGCATGGCATGGACTATTCAAAACAAAAAAAAAAGATAATTTTCTGCAACATCGTGTTTCATTCTTTACCTACATAGGACTTCAGGCAACACATGGCTTCTTTAACCATTACGTATGTCATGATTGTAACTTCTTTGGAAGTTGAACAGGGTATCTGGATCTGCTTTGTTGGTCTGCCATCCAGATTAATATTTTTTAAATCTCAATTCCTCCTTGATATCAACACATCTGCAGTCACTGTTATTTGCATTATCACTGTTGTATTTGCCTGGCAGATCTCCATACGTCACATTCATGTGAGATACGAAGACACTGTAACCAATGGAGACCATGCTTTTGCATGTGGGATCATGCTGAAACAGCTGCTGATATGTTCAACAGATGCTCGCTGGCAGCCACGGGGGACAGATGTTATCCCAAACATGATGCATAAGGTGAATTGTGGATAAATGTTTCTGTTTGTATTATTTTGTATTCTCAAACCTACAGTATATTAGCTCTTTGAGTCCCAGGGGGTTTAGCATCAGAGGCCCAAGGGGTGGTAATGCAATTTTAAAATTTCACAAGTGTAAGACATTAAAATAGACTGTACTAATTCAATTGCAGTGCAACATACACATATTATACATCAAAGTGACCAGTGATTGTTGATGAATAATTTTAGTATAGAGCTACAACAAATAATTGCGTCAGTAATTAAAAATTAGTAAATAAACAGACGGTATGTTTACAAAAATTAGTTTAAAAAAATTACAAAATTTCCACTTGCCACCATGGCACTCAGGAAAAACTGGTTAAAATGTATCCAAAATGAATTACAAATGAATAAGAACCACTTAGTAATGTATAAGTAAAATATAACCTCAATCTATTTTTTAGTTTTGTTCCAGAGAAGCATCATAAAAGAGCACTATTATTTGGTAAAGAAAACTGACTCCCAAAACAATAAGTATCTTCACGCAAAACAAAGTTTATCTAACACTCAATTTGACTGTAATTTTGTAGCTATGTTCCTAAATAACAAAGGGAATAGCACTAGAACTAACTGACTCTGAAGAAAATAATCTTTTTACTTATGTTTATTTTATTTGTGACAGCTGACTTTGCTATCGTTGTACCCTTCGTGTGAGGTACACATTAGACATATCCGTCTTCAAAGTTTGACTCTATAAATGACTGAAACATGCCTAATTCGCAACGTTATCTATCTAACTTCTGATAAATCTAAAAAAACATGTACTTTATTTAAATTTTAGGCTTCTTGAGACGGTAATTCACATTGGCATGCACGTGGAATAGTGCTTGGCTGCCATATTCTTTTCAAACAAACACTTAGTAACTCGGGAATATCAAAAATAAACTATTTTTTTGGCTTTCAACCCACGTTTCTAAATGAGCACGCTTGATATCAGACACAAAGAACGTGGAAGGAAGTTGAAATTTAGCGGTCTACGTTTTACAACCTGTGGTAGATTTAAACCTTTACTTGTCATGGGTCGATTGGGCCGCTAGGTTGAAACAAATTAGCACGTGATGCATTCCCTGGAACTCTAAGATTAAGGAAAACTGGCCAAAAAACAGACATTTGGAAAGTGGAATAAAGTCCCCGGAGATGTAAATTAAAGAAGAATAGATCTTACTTCCTGAAACAAAGATTAAAATGAAAAAATATTAGGAAAAAAGACAAGTGAAATATTTCTGATAGGTTAAGAGACAGCGTGTTTCTAAAAATTACACTGAAAGGAAAAGTTAAAGGCAGAAGAGCTAGCAGTAGACAACAGTAAACACGTTGTAGTACTAATCACTAGGAGCTGTTGTAGTGTAGAGGCTAGATGCTCACTTGCTAGGCTGAGAGACCTTGGATCAAGGCAGTGTAATTTTCAGAACTGACCTTAGTTACTAGGTTGGCCCACCTAAAACGGGTGCCAGATTATGATCTGGGAACTACATATGGTCGCCACGAGTTAAACCACTTCATCCATTGATTGCCCACTGGTGTCATAAAAATATAGGTCTAGCACTATATTCCCGATGCACAACACATGTCGTAATTGTAACAGACTATGAAAGCATGCTGAGGAAGGTGAAGACAGGGATGCTTCAAACAGAGTGGCAAGCTTCACTGGGAAGGTCACGGGTAGTGAGCATACTTTGGATCTTTTCTCCAGGCTATTAGGGTGTGGTGGGTAATGAACAGGCAGATAAATTGGCTGGATCTGCACCACTGGGTAGTGAATTGATACATGACAAGGCAGATGTTGTCAAGGCCCTTTGGGAACAAGCAACGGAATCAGCTGAAAGAGAAAATTATTATGGAGAGAATGAGGCACCTGGGTGTAAGCAGAGGGTCTGGCCAGCTCATTAAACTTAGAGGAAAGGCAAGATATATAACCAGATTGTGACCGGTACCATCAGTATTGTAACTCTGCGCTGGCTGCTGAAGAGGAGGACGGAGCATGCATGAGAATGCCCTGAGTGCTGTGATGTCAATTCTTGACTCAACTTAACTCAACTCAACTCCTGATGCACTTTTATGAAAAGGATCCTTTGCTTATCTTTATTATTTACTTTATTATTCATGAAATAACTACTACAACATATATATATATATATATATATATATATATATATATATATATATATATATATATATATATATATATATATATATATATATATATATATATATATATATATATATATATATATATATATATATATATATATATATATATATATATATATATATATAGCTATTATTTTGTTCCTTGTCTCTCTACCTGCTGAAAGATGCTGAAACTGGATGAACTATCTGCTTATTGGAATCCATATGTACCAGAACAACATTTGCTAAAATCAAGATTAAACACTGATGGATGGAAGGTCAGTATCTTTTAAACTTAGTAAATCTTTTATGTACCAACATGTTTATGTCAAATCACTACTGTTGTATGGAGCGAAAACATGGGAAACAACTAAGGCAGTTACTAATAAACTACAAACATTCATTAACTGGTTAGTGCCTACGCTGAATAGATGGAATTAACTGGTATGATAGAATAACTAATGTAGAGCTTTGGGAGAGAACTGGACAGGTTCCAGTGGACCAAGAGGTGAAGAAAAGATGCTGGTGTTGGATATGACACATTTGAAAAAATCTGAAAACTAAATAACTAGAATGTCTGTGCTCTAGAACCCACAGGAGCATAGGAGAAAAAAGGAAAATCAAAACACACATGGAAAAGGGAGCTAGAGAGTGAAGTTAAAAAGATGGGGAAGACATGGGAAGAGTTGCATGCAATAGCAAAAGATAAAATGACTTTGTGTGAGTTGGTTGAGGGTCTATACTCAACTGGGTGCTAGAAGACAGAAACAGAAGAAGTCATTACATTGAACTGACAAAAAGTGACTGCATTTTCTGTACATATTTATCTTTTAATTTCAGAATGTTCTCAGGATTTCCATTGACTCTCATACAATTTTTGAAGAGGAACTTGATTTTAGTAAGTAAATTGTGATTATTATGATATTTATTTTTCATTCATTTCATAATTACACTAGGATTTCTTATTGTTCAGATGCTTTTAAAGATTTATTTTGAGATATGATAAGTAAATGCTTAAAAGCAGGTTAGAAAAAATTAAGAGGTCTGCTTTTTTAAGCTGTAAATTTTCTGAGATATTTATGTGTCTTTCACTGGTTATTATTGTAATAATAATAGAAATAAAGTGAAAGATAAAATATAGTAGAAGACCATTCTCATGGTTTTCTGACATAGGTACAAGAGGTGCACCATGGAAGCGATTGGGACCTCACCATTTGGTTTTCTGGAAAACAGTAGGGAATGCAGGTTTCCACTGCAGCCAGCTTCTCTTATGGAAATGACACATTTTTTGTTTTATTATAAATTCCAGTGTGCTTATATCATTGTCAGTACTAATAACAGATTTTTCTACACGACGAGAGTTCCTTCCATTCCCATTTGCTGCGGCTGGTCGCAATGCCTTTCCTACATTGTGGGGGTGTCATGTATTTCTTAATTTCAACAGTTAGACTGTTGTCTCTTTTCTCGTGTTGTCATCCCTCACTTGTGTGATTATTTCCACCTTCTGCTACTTGCCCAATGGTTCGTAAGCATCAAAACTAGGATGTTTTTGTATTTCTACGTCCTTGTCAGTGGCTTGCTTTTCGGGGGTGGGGGGGGGGGGGGGGGGCGCACTGCAAAGGAACGTAGAAGTACAAAAACATTCTCGTTTTGATACTCATGAAAAGTCCAGCTCCCCCCACCCGCAGTACTTCTTACGTGTACACAAGCGCCAGTGGTGCATTTAAAAGATTCAAAACAACACAACCTCCCACAAACATTATATACGGTGAGTGAACGCCGAATGAAGCCATCACATAACACTTCCACAGCATAGGACATGTTGTGCGGCCGGCTGTGGCATGAATGGGAGGGGAAGAAACACTCACCATGTGGGTAAGTTCATGAAAACTTTCCCCATTGTCACTATTAAATATTGGAGATATGATTCTTCTTCATCTTATAGTCCATGCTATGTGGCATTGGTAGTCATGACTATTCACAACATATTTTGTCTCATGTACTTTCAATCAGTTCTGACACAGATAATCTTCATTCAGTGTCATGATGTTAAACTATCCAACATGTTCTGTCTAAGTCTTTTTCTGCCTCTTTTCCCCTCCATGTTTCACATTGTCATGATGTACTCCTGTTTTCTTCTTCTCGTGACATAACCAAAGAATGAAGATTGTCTCTTTCTGGATATATATGTGTGTGTGGGTGTGTTGCTGGGTGGGTGGATTGGTGAGTGGAATGACTTTAGAACTGTGTAGTAGTGGCAGTCTTGCTTTGATGAAATTCATATGTGTGTGTGTGAGTGTGCATGTGCACCTATGTGAATGTGATTGTATGCTTGTGTGTGTATGCATGTTTGTGTTATGTGTGCATGTATATTTTGTGTTCATGTATACTTGTTTGTGTGTGGCATATGCATATATGTGTGTGTGTGTGTGCTTGTATGTGTGTGTGTCTGTCTGTGTGTCTGTCTGTGTGTATGCAGGTTTTTGTATATGCATTTGTGTGTGTGTATGCATACATGTGTGTATGCATATTTTGTATGTGTGTGTGTGCATTATGTGTACACATATGCATGTTTGTGTGTGTGTGTTTGTGTTTGTGTGTGCATGTGTATGTGCACGTAAGTGTGTGTCTATAACAGGATTTGTAACATCTCTATATCCTACCTCACTAACTGTATTATCTACCAGATGTGCCATGAAGATAGCTTGTGAGGTTCTGCCACAGTATTTGATAAAGCATTTACTGATACACATGATAACATATAATGTGGTTGGTTACATTTTCTCTCTTTTTGCATTTCCCTATTTTTATCCATGACATCTGTTATAGGGGTGAATACTGGAATAAAAATGGAATGTACATTTAAACAAATGTTAGTCTTCCCACGGGAAGTAGGTCACATTCCATTGATACATTTTTTTTGGAGTAGTCTACCGTGGTTGAGGATATGGGTGTGGTGCTCTGTTGTCTTGCATTTACCTTTTTTATTCTGAGAAAGTGACTGCCTGTGACATAGGTTGCAGCACTCTCTAGGGGGTTGTGTGTTAGACCCAGTTTCTAAATGTTTTTGCAGTGTTAGAAGTGAAAATATAAGTGAAATATAAAACACGCTGTATCAGTGGCATTGGGGAACACCCCCGTCACCTCGTGTGAAGGTCGGGTGTCTTGAGACCGACCAATCAGAAGTGAGCTAGTGTGTACCAGTGTGTTGAATGGTTTTACCAACCTATGTTTTACCGGAATGTACATTGCGCTGTTTTTTCCCCTTATAATATAGCTTTCCTTATACCTTCTTGCATTGTGTATTTTTAAAAAAAGTAAAGGGCCCTTTTCCACACCTTTAGGCGTACAGGTCAAATAAAGCTAGACTATATTTTATAGACCAATCACCCCAAGATGGGTGATGTGATCAGCATCACACCGGCCACCTTTACTTCCAAGGACTGCACCCGGTACCCACTCAAGACTGGGTCGACCTGGGAGCCAAGTTAATTTTTTGAAAAAAGTAAGGCTCCGCCAGGAAACGAACCTACGACCTTCCGATCAGTGGCGAGCACTTTGTGCATTAACCAGCTGTAGAGCCATATATTGTTTACAGTGGCAGTTTTCCTGATTGAATATTTGCTATGAAAACCATCCAGCATTAAAAGAGTAAAAATTACATTTGCAAAAGAACCAGTGCAAATGCTGTTTTTCACCTTTATAATAATCAATATTGCCATTGATGGGTAATTTTTTTTAAATCCTCCCAAAAAACATGCTTTTCATTTGCCAAGATTTTTTTTTTTTAAATTCAAATAGCAAATGGCAGTAATTTAAAAGCTCTGATGTAAATATCTAGAAACATGAATCAAATGAATGACACAGCGAGATGAATATCTTTTTTCTTCAAAGATTTTCTTTATTTGATGCAAATTTTAAAAGTTAAATTATTGTGCAAAAAAACAAAACAACAACAACATAAGCAGCAATTCAGGGATGGTTGTTTTGCCCCACATTTTTAATTTACTGTAGAGTGTTTACTGGAAAATAAATTTGTTTGGTTAGCCAGTAACACTGTTACATCTTTAATTAGTTTTCTCTTAACATTCATGCTGTAGATTATAATTTTTCTGTTTGTAGTCTAAGCTAGAATCCTAGCTGTGTGGCCTTGGCAGTCACATCCGTCTCATGCATGTTCAGTACTTTCTGATACAGATGTTTCTCCATGCCATAATATCAAACTGTCCCAATATTTTTTTTTAGTCACCCCCTGCATATTCCTTGCTGAAAATATTAGAATGAATGAGAGTGTATGCTTTATGAATGTGTTTGTGTTAATGAGTGTGTGTATAGGCATACTCTTTTGAGCATAAGTGTGCGCGCTCACACACAGATGTACATACATATGTGTGTATGACTTTTTGTGTATGAGTATGTAGGCGTGTGGATTTGTATGTGAATGTTTGAGTGTGGATATTTATATCTGTATTAAAGTATGTATCGGTGTATGATTGTGTGTATGAATATGTGTGTATATGCATTAGTGCATGTCTGTATGTGTGTATGTATGTGTATATATGAGTGTGTAAATGAGTGTATGTTTAAATGTATGTTTATGTCTGCTTTTATGTTCCTGTTTGAGTGTGGTGTGTAAACTTTTCAGTGTGTATGTGTAGGAATGTCTGTGTTTTTGTCTGTATGAGTGTGTGTACATAGGAGTGTGTGTATGTGTGTGCATGTTTGATATGTATGTATGCACACATGTGTGTCTGTGAATGAGTATATGTGTATGTGTGAGTGAATAAGTGCTTCTGGATGAGTATGGGAATAAATAGGCATGTATGTATGTTTGTATGTATGTATGTATGTATGTATGTATGTATGTATGTATGTATGTATGTATGTATGTATGTATGTATGTATGTATGTATGTATGTATGTATGTATGTATGTATGTATGTATGTATGTATATATATATATATAGTGGAACCTACAGATACAAATGTACCTGGATACAAGTTTTTTAAGATATGAGGTCAGGATCGGCAATTGTTTTGCCCCTGAATAAGAGGCCAAATCTAGGATGGCAAACTGGAGAGACAAGAACCCACCGCATTAACCTGATAGCATTTTAGTACTTTTACATTGAATTTAAAATGTTAAAATTGCTGAAGGAGGACTTGACTCTTTTGGTCCAAGGGAACGCATGATACGTTATATTATGTTATCACAGTCGATGTCAATGCACATTGAACATTCCCCATGCTAGTGCTCTAGAAGCAGTGGCTATCTCCATGGTCATGCTTGCTGTAGTTGCCTGGTAGGCGCAGTTGTCCTCATTTATTTTTTCCCCATCTTTTGTGCTGTGTCTGCCCAAGCTGACCTTGATCCAAGTTTCACGGACCCATCTGTGCAGATGATGATGTCTTTTGGGTGTAAGTGCTGGTGTATCAGTTCCCTTACTTCTGTGTCTACAGCGGCAGGAATATTATCGCTGCAGTACCTCCCCAGTGGAATGACAACCTTACAGATGTCATGCATGTCTACTGGTGTATTTGTCCATTCTTTTCCATGACTAGTCTCATCTAGGTCATATACCTGCTGGATTAAATCTTTAGCCTTGGCCATCCAGGAGGGACCTCTTTTGAGACACATTCCTTTTGTCATACGTTCAGAGGTTCCTGCCTGGAAGCCCAATGAACGCAAAATGAGCTGATTATATGTTTCTCTGTAACATCCCTCCCTTGGGCCTCTGATGCTAAAGCTCTCTGGGACTGAAAGAGTTTGGTAACTGGTAATTTTAGATTCATTTTCTGTGCAGCTTGCTGAAGATGGAGAATAAGCATTTATGGGCGTATACTAAGTGCTGTTATCTTCTTCTTCTTCTTCTTCTTTTGTCTTTCTAACCCCCAGTTGAGCAAAGGCCCAAGTCATGCTATCTTTACTAACATATGCAGTTCTCCCCATGTCCTTCCCCCTATTTTGAACTTCACTGTCTAGCTCCCTTCTCCATGTGTTTTATGGTCTTCCTTTATTTCTATGCCCCTGTGGGTTCCAGTGCAAAGACATTCAAGTAATATTGTTCTCAAGTTTTCTCAGCCCTCATTACTTGTTATTTTAAATGTTCTTTTTCTGTATTGTACAGTTATGCAACCAGCAGCAGCTCAAGCCAGACTCATCATCAACTCTGATACAGGCTTCACTCTGCCTAAGTTCTTCATGGATTTCACCATAGAGGAAGTCGAGGTCATGCTGTCAAGACAACAGGTAGGTCTGTGAATTTGATCAGACATAGGTCAGCTGAGTGATTTTGTGCATTCTTCTTCATGTTTGTGGTATTGTAGATTGATGTATTGTGCTGATAAAGGCCCTCTACCCGCAGGGTTCACTTGACATCTTTTCAAGTTATCTCTCTGTTCAGATACTCAATTTGATACCACTGTTTATCGATATAGGAGCATGGTTGGCATAAGGGTTAGGGTGCTTGCCCACTAAAGCAAGTGTTACTGTTCAATCCCCAAAATGAATGAATGAATGAATGAAGAATTGACATCATTGCACTTGGGACATTCTCACATGTGCTCCATCCTCTTCTTCACCTTCTTCACTAACTATGCTAATAGCACCCGTTTCAACCTCATTAAAAATCTACCTCTGCTTTCCCTTCAGTACTGAATATCCTCCAGAACCTCTACTCACCCCCTGTTAAATTTTTCTTCCAGTGTATGGATTCCCTATCTGCTATTTTGCACTATCCTGAGGTATCTTCATTGGAAGCTTCATTCATGAAACAAGCTATGTTTCAGAGCACTAGGCAAACAACTTTATGACCTTATCAGATAAATCCCCACTTCTAAAGCATGTTGTACAATAAATCTACTGAACGAGCATGCAGATTATCTTGCAGATACTGCGATTGTTATGGCTGGTCCAGTACTGGACAGAAATGATGTTATCAATGCTATGCACAGCATTTACCATGAAGACGACCATATTACTGTCTAGGTTGTTAGACATGGGGTGCAACCTGGTGCTCCAAGAAATAAACAATTCACCAAAGGGAACAGGACGTTTGATGAATCAGCACAGAACAGGCATCCGTAGTTATTTTATGGTTGTGGAGCTTTTGAGGAGGAGATTGGAGCTCCTATTGATCTGTCCAGAGTGTCGTGACAATAGTCCTCACTAATCACTAAACTAATGAACAAAGTGAGTGAAAAGTAATCAAGATTGAGTAAGTCAATGTAATAACTGGGTAGGACATTAACAGTGAAGGAAACCACATCATGTTAGGAGTTATTAATCAACATGTGGTGATCTGCTTGATTTAAAAGTTAATGATAATGAAAGCAAGATAATAGCAAAATGATGTTAATGTAGTTAGTGTTTGCTGCAGAATCCTTGTTGACTCTTGAATCTGAAGAAAAAGAAATTACCTTCTTCATCTTCTGCATTCATCCTCATAAGGGTGTTTGGCATTTATTGTTGTGCTTTACAGCTAGGTTGTGATATCTACACCTTTTTGCCTCCCACATCCAATTTCATCACATCTTTATTGGCCCCAACTAGTCCCCCGCCCCCTCCCCTTTTTTTTTTTTATCAAAGTGTTGTTAAGAAGCAGTGGGTCCATTCTTTTTTCTAACAATATGGGACCCCCATAACCCACATGGAAAAAAAATGGAAATTAAATTTAAAATGACTATTCCAATCTACCTGGCTGTATATTTATGCTGTAGTTGTAATATCGTGCATGCAGTCCATCTGTGACTGAAACGTGCCTATTGATGTTTTTTATTTTTTTGCTTCTAGTTTCTGAACCTTATCACTCTCAGTGACTCATTCCAACTGATGAGGATTAACCAGCGTTACCGTAAATACCATCCTAATATCAGCCTCAAAGTCAGCCCTCGGT